TGTAAACTACAATAAAACATTTTGAACTGTCTATGGCATCGTGAAGAGAAAATAATAGCAGTGTCTGGTTTTTATAATGTAATGCTATTGTACTAAGGCCACTAAAGTCATTTTAAACACTGAAAGCATAAAGTAATTTTATACTGATAAATGAGCAATTTAGCAAAATGTTTTAAGAAGGAATACGATTTATGGTTCACTCTACCTACACACATATATGTTATTTTGTACTAAATTTTTTTAACTTTCCAAAGAATTACTGTGAATTATTCATAGAAAGTAACAGAAATATTAAAATTGTTCCCAAATTTCCAAATAGTCAGTATGACTAATTCACTGAAATTAATAGAAATCTTTATTCACAGAAATTGTAATAAGAGGCCAGATAAAGTAGAATACATTAATTGTTGGTTTAAGTTTAGACCTATTCAACAACTAAAAGTCAATTATTTAGTGGTTAAGTAAAGTGAAATGGTTAAGCGTTTACCTTAAGGGACTATCTAGGTTCAAATTCTGCGTCTGCTACTTCCTAGCTACTGTATGTGACCTTGAACAAGTTGCTTAGCTCTCTCTACTTCGGTCCCCCAAATAATGAAAGCGTTGATCTCATAGGGTTGTTTGGCTGATTAAAATAATTAAAACATGTCAAGGTCTCAGATGGTGATTGCTCATAGCAAGTGCTATCATCTGAATGTTTTCATCCCCCCAAATTCATATGTTGAAATTCTAACAGCCAAAGTGATTGGTATTAAGAAGTGGGGCTTTTGAGAGGTGATTCAGTCATGAGGGCAGGACCCTCATGATTGAGATTAGTGTCCCTACAGTAGAGATCACAGAATGCTAGCTAGCCCATTCCACCATGAAAAAAACACAACAAAAAGATGCCTTCTGTAAACCAAATCTGTTGGCATCTTAATCTTGGACTTCCCAGCCTCCAAAACCATGAGAAGTAAACTTCATGGTTTTTAAGCTACCCAGTTTATGGTATTTTGTTATAGCAGCCCAAACGGACTAAGACTCCAAGCTATTCAACACATACTAAATGTCAGTCTCTTCCTTTTTAGTGCTTCTAACCCACTGCCATGAATCGACTGCATAAAGCAACTCTGAAATGCCACTCACTTGCTCAAAACATTACATGCTCCTCCAACTATGGAACCTGAACATGTTAAAGACCATCCCAAGGTTGGTCCTGTCTTAACTTCCTGTTTTTTCCTTCCCTTATTCTCTATTGAAGTTCCTCCCTCCTTTAAAACCCTGCTCATGTTTTATCCTCTCCTGATGTCTTCTCAGATCACTTCCATCAGATGTATTCTCTCTCCGTCAACCACATTCCCATAGCACAAGGGTGAAGCTCATACACAGCATGCCTAGGAGTTATTTGTGCACGTTATGTCCCATTTGATAGATTATGACCTCCAGGAGGGCAAGGCCTGTATCTTTTCAACTTTGTATCCCCCATAGTACCCATCAGAGAATTTTACACTTAGTAGATACTCAATAAATGGTTGTTAAACTTGGTTGAACCCACATAATTTTTTTTCTTTGTGGCAGATGCCCCAAGAAAAACATAAAACAAATGAATTACTTTTCTTCTTTCCATCACAATATATATGCCTTGGGCTAGTGGGTTTTTGCAAACCTGGTTTAGAATTTAGGGAAGTCATCAATCTAGGCAAGGAGAAGAAATGCATTTTAAATCACAAGAGCAATATACATTTATATATAGACATACATATAGAGACATATATATATATATGGCCTTCTAGCAAAGCAATTACTGATGGCTCAATAACCCAGGTGCTAGTGTTATTATGAACAAAAGTGTGAGATTGAGAGACAATGAGCGATCTTAACTTTTATGTTCCATAGGTATGCAATTCAGTGAACCATGTACAGATGGAAAGTTTAGATCTGAAAATCATATGTGGGTATCATAATGCAAATAATTGGCTTTCTTTCTAAAGAACATCTGTTGAAACATCTGAAAAGAGTTGTTTATTTTGCTGCCAAAATGCTGAAAAATATAATAATTCTCCAATGAGGTTAGAAATATCCAGGGGAAGAAAAATACTTTTTATGTAGTTCTGCTTTTATTAAATCTTGCTTTTGTTTTTCTGATATGGCACATATGAGATCTTCAATAATATTTGTTGAATGAATGTTGAATGAATAGCAGAAACTTATTAAACAGTTGTTGAATGAATCATTTCTTTTTTTTTTTTTTAGGCTTACACATTTTCAGAAAATAGTATGCCCAAGTTTTACCATGCCATTTACCATTTTTATTTGGTATAAATTTAAGTAATGTTATACTCTTGCTCTGAACATTATAGGATGTAATCAACATGCATATCTACAGGAAAAAATATCTTAACACTATAGAAAATAGATACATGATAACAATATTTTAATATCTTACTATGTTACTTTTATTCATTGTTATGAAATGTTTAAAACCTGAGCCCTGGGCTTGCATAATTATGTTTGCTTCAACAAACAAAATAAAATTTAAAAACCTCACTATATCTATACTTGTGGTACCTCTAAGAAGATTCTAACTTGAAATTTAAAAAGCACCAAAATATTCTGGGATCTGAAGAAGACGACTCCAGAAGATGAAGAAGCCATTTTTTCCCTATAACCTCTTTCTTGAATTTCCAGGAGCTCTCTCTTCCATACTCCCATGTGAGTGAGGCAACTGGGCTCCCCAAAGGCTGCCCAAATTTCACTCTGCCAAGTTTCAGTACAGAAAGAGCATGTTAAATAATAAATGTGAGTTTGAATGTAACTAATAAAATTTGGAATGTTAAATAGCAGAATGCTTTTGAAAACTAGCCTCCTTGTGTGGATGCTCCCTGTGAAAGTCCACAGGAAATAATTCTGAAGGGAGTGATATTAATTAGTAATATAATTTATCTTCTGGAAGCCCTTTCCTTTGATGGCCACCATGGTACATTTCATAAGCCTCCAAACAAGAGCTCAAAGAAAATGGTTCAAACCACAACTTGAGGTTCGTTTTCCATCCTTGAACAGATAAAAGAGTCCTATTTATTTCTGTATATCTAAATTTTACACATGCATACTTATGATGGAGGATTACAAAGTTATAAAAATGTATTTATGAAGAGTTTTCAACCAAATGATAGAATGCTTGTGATGTAATAAGAGAAAAAAAGAGCAGACTCCAAAATTAAATTCATGGCTTCTGATCCCAGCTTTCTTAGTTTCAGCTCTCACTCTGCCATATACTAGGCATGTTACTTTGAAAGATACTTAATTGCTCTGTGCCTCAGTTTCCTCAACCATAAAATGAAGGTAATAGTAAAAATCATGTCAGAAGAATATAGAGTATTCAGAATACTGCCTGGCAAATAATAACAATTATTATTATTATTTATTCATAATAATTTCAAGTTTATAAAGGAAAAATGCAAGGTGAGGAGGGTTACCTGGAAGGCAATAGCCAAAATGTTGTTAATATTTCTTTTTAAATGATATGCGTATGGGCAATTATTTTCGGTTTCATTATATTTTTCAAAGTGTATTCTTACATAATAAAGTTTAAAAATTAAGTTTTATACCTATATGGCTTTATGGAAATTAAGGTGGAAATGTGAAATAGGTTAAAATTTTTAACCAATTATACTACAGCATTAACAAAATATTAATAAAACATAGTGATGTGACAGAATTTACATGTACCTTATTTTACTCAATTTTAAATACATTCTAATGAGAAGTTACCTTTTAAAGTTTAACCAATGTCAAATTTTACATTCAGAAATAAAGACAAATGTTTATTCTAATGTCAATATTTTGACCTACAAAAACTAAAAATATTTTATTTTTAATTTTAAAAATCCCATGCAAAAGTCCCAAAGGTGCCTTTCATGTTTAAGCTTTAATTAGCAACCACTTTGGTCTCTGACATATATTGTGCAGATATTGAAGTGTTAATATCACTGCAGCTTGATTACAAAAGGCAATGATTAATTTTAAAGCAGACAAAAAAGATATGCTCTGATTACAAAGGAATGATTAAGGTGGAATGTCAGACATTGCACATTTATAGCAGTCTTTGCCATCCTCAAAGGATAAGACTTTGCTCAAGTTTATATTTAGAATCACAGGAACTTTGTACTTTATAATGTTGGGTGTTTGTGCCTGGGAGACAGAGCGCCGCAACTCCAATAAGGCCTAAGACCTTCAGGAGCCACAAAGCCCATGGCGAGCCACCCTGAGGCAGAATGGGCCCAGCGGGCCTCTGTAGTTTAAGGTCTCGCGATGTAAGGCCTTCGCAAGGCTGCGGCCATAGCCCTGGGGGAGAGTTCCGGCCTGAGGTATTGTTAATGAGTACCGTATTGCTGAGGTACAGCGCACTTTGAGGGACTTATCCCTCATGGCGAGCCACCCTGAGGCAGAATGGGCCCAGCGGGCCTCTGTAGTTTAAGGTCTCGCGAGGTAAGGCCTTCGCAAGGCTGCGGCCATAGCACTGGGGGAGAGTTCCGGCCTGAGGTATTGTTAATGAGTACCGTATTGCTGAGGTACAGCGCACTTTGAGGGACTTATCCCTAAAAAAGAGAGAGAACTGGGAAGACAAGACTGACGGCAGCAAGAGCTGTTGCCCAGACCCTCTCAGGAGCCCAGGCCCGGGGCCTCCATTTTTATTTGCCACCAGAGCCAAACGCAAACCCGGAGAGGGGCCGAGGCCTGGTGCCCGGGAGCTGCGCTCCGCCAGGGGAAAAGGCAGAACTTGAAACTGTCGTTACAGCGCGTTAGGGAGAAGAACCAGGTTCGCAAATCGTAACGGGGAAACCAAGGCCGAGGGCGGGAAGGGGCGGCCGCGGATAGCGTCCCCGGACCGGCGCCCTGACTGCGTCCCGCGTGCGCTCCGTCCTCGGTGTGGGCCAGAGACGTTCTGTCTGGGAACAGCCCCAGAAGAATCCTTCTTTATTGTGCTTTCCAGGATCCTCAGACTCAGTTATAAAATATTGAACTGCCAGAAAAGGATCCGCAGGAGCCCGGGCCTGAGATGAGCTTAGAATCCCTGTTTCAGCACATCCTCTTCACCGAGCACCAGGCTGAGGAGAGTCGCCGTTTGATGCGAGAAGGTCAGGTCGGGGCGTCTCTGTCCTTTGCATGGGGTCTTTTGTCTTCTCGAGCTGGGTGCTGGGAGCAGAATGAGATCCCGAGCAGTTAGGGGAGTTTGCTTTCCAAGTACAGGGAAAGACAGCCGAAAGGTGCCTTATCAAATTCCACTGAAATGGGCACTTGGGAAAGATGGATGTGTTTGAAGATTTAATTTGTGTTACAGTAAGGTCGGAAATAACCAGATGTCGTGAAAAAATTAAGGAAGCAACACAGGAGCTGAATGAAGAGAAAATCAAGCTGGAATCTAAGGTACTGACGTGTAGAGCATGCTAATTATCACTTGAAAAAGTCTTTAACCAGTAAATACACTATACTCCTTTGCTGGTTAGTGTCATTCCATGTTACCTTGGTAATATTTAAAGTTCTGAATACAGTGACACCTTCAGTTCTAATATGAACTTTCCCTAAAGAAACCACTTAAAGTAATGAAGAATTCATTGTCCATTTTGTGGGATGGTCAAGGTTTTAAAAGAGAATAGTGTCATTGGAAGAATAATTGTTCTACTTATTCAATTAGTTGATGCAGTATATAAATTTTGAATAATAAATAATTTAAGTGTGCTATGTTGATGTAACTATTGAATGTAACTTTCCAATGAGTCTCTCTGCCTTTTGTTCTTCAGTTCTCTGCCTCATTTTGGACATGTCTTTCATCCAAAAGTATACTTTTTCCACTAGAATTTCTTTTATGTAGCATTGTGAAGTTCTGTTATTTTAAATTGGAGCAAGACAGTCTGATGGCTTCTTGGAGGATTTTGAAGGGTGGGTTGAATTTTGGAGAGGAAAAGAGAAGTAGCAGGAGAAAAACATTCGTGGTAGAGAGAAGAGGCAGATATGCCCAAGGCATATTGGGAGAAAAATCTATTCAAAGCAGGGGGCTGACATCTTAGAACAGGGACAAACTATTGCAGGTTTTGATCAGGGAGCAGTGTGATGAAAGTGGTTTTAGGAAGATCTCTCTGAGATAGGAAAAATTAGTAAGCTAAGAACATCATTTATGTGTGTCACAATGAAGGCTTTTCTATGGGTGGAGACAGGTATTCAGTAATATTTATTCAACACCTGACAAATTATTCAAGCAATGTGCAATGGGAAGTCCGTTTGAGGAAATCTGTTTGCTTCAGATATGTTTTTAACTTATCACTGTGAGGAATTTTCAGTGTTCTTTGTGAATAAAATAATCATGGAACCTTTCTCCACCTGGGGAGCTTCAGTTCTTCTTTTCGAGTCTTTCTTAGATATCACCCATAAAGCCCTCCCATGGACATCTTGGTAAAATTGTTTTATTAAACAACAATGCATACTTGTATTTGTGTTTGTATCCCCCATTATTGTGTGAGCAATGTATCTTAAATTTTTTCTTACCCGTATTTTATTCCTACTGGTTGTATCCAATGCCTGGCATATAGTATACATTAGTGTGTTGAATGAATTAATGAGTGCTAATAGTGTGACAGCTAACAGGGAGAATGCTGCTTTTTAAAATAGAATTTGGAACTATTGTTCTGTGAGACCCTAGCTCCTATTTTGCCTTTGAATAACAGATAAACCTGCTGCTGTAAACAATGTTAAAAGCTGGTAGGATGGGAAAAGCATTAAGAATGTTATAATGTAGCTTTTTTTTTTGCTTGGAAAAAAAATTAAGATACTTTCAGGACTGGTTAACTAGAAGCTAATAGAAAATAATAGGCAAAATATGTACAACTAAGTAATACATAGCTAACACTTATTGAGCACTTACTATATGTTGGGCACTATTCTAAATGCTTCACCTGTATTAACTGCTTTAATCCTAACAGGAATCCTGTAATGAAGCTTCATTATTATTCCTCCCCTCTTATAGGTGAGGAAACTGAGAGGTTAAATGACTTGTCCGTTAAATATAATATGAAAACAAACTACCGTAGTGAAAGTAACAATTGAGTAATGACAGCATATTTTATTAAAACAGATTTTTTGAGGTCATCTTGAACTTTTTCTTCATGAAATTCACATATAATAATATGTCTGAAGCTTTGCATCTGGTTTAGGGCAATATTTTTAAAAGGTTGCTTATGTAAGTTTTTGTACATTTTTCCTGGATTGGTGAAAATATTGACCTGACAGATAATAAATGTTTTTTAAAAAGCTTTCCTCTTTATGATATTTTCTTTGTAAAAGAAAAATACATTTGTTCTTTGTAATATTTTCTTTATTAGCAACCTGTTTTGCCTGAAAATGTAAATATAATTTGTTGATATATACACATACATAAAAAAAATGTTGATTGAATTGTTTGTGCTAGAGAGAAGACAGAGCAAATCCCTGACATTGTTTAGAAAAACATTTGCTGAAATCACTAATTAATATAGGCTCATAAATGTGCTTAGCTTTTTAATCAGCTCATATATGTGGGTAATAATACAATTATAACTTATAATAAGATTAACATATGAAGTTCACAGTTCACACAATTCTAATTTGTCATTGAAATAATCTGATTCATAATTATAGTCAAGATGGTATATGTGTGTCTGTGTCTGTATATAAAGATTTTAAAAGTAGAACCACAATTATAATGTAAATGACTAATGGGAAGAACTGAAGAAGTAATCATAAATTGATTTCTTGTTTCTTTTATTCTTAGAGTTAATTATATGTCTGCCAATAACAATGAAAATATATTTACTTGAACATTTAACTTGGCATTTATTGATCCATTTATCAAGTAGAAGCAACATAAGAAGAAACTAGAACATAATTTGAAAAGGGCACTGCCTGAACTGTTGCACAGTGATACATTCAGAAAATATTTTGGACGTTTATTTCAGTAGTTTCTTGTGGTCAAAAAATGTATTTAGGAAGTACAATATTCTTTTTTTTTTTTTTTTTTTTTCTGTTTTGTAAAAGCCAGGTAGCATGTAATTAGAACTTGAATGATAGCATTTGCCTTTCAAGGCTCAATGAGTCCTTTAAAATATGTGGTTGCAAAAGTCTCATATTATATAGTATAAGTACTTTGTGAATTGGACAGCTACAGTACGCCTGGTTAGGTTTTGTAATATGACAACAGAAAGATGAGAACATGCCCTGGATTTGCATTATTGCTTACCAGTATTCTTAACTCTGATAGTCCAGGAAAGGTTTTATACTATTGATGACAGAGCAAGCCAAAATTAAGGACTCACGGAACAATACTAGTTTCTTTTAAGCATCTAAAAGAAATTCTCCTATTTTAAAAAATGGCATATAGTTAAACTTTGGGCATTTGATTTTTATAAACATATTACCTCAAGCCCAATATAATTCCATACTCTATTAAGAGGGAGTAAATGGAGGAAAATCTGAAGCTATCCTGTGAATATTTGTTTATTTTTTCTTCCCCAATTTTAACTTATTGCATAAACTTCATAGCAATAATAAAAGAATATTTCATGAATTTTTGAAGGAAAATTATGTTGAAATAAAAAAGTAACTTGAAGTGGCTCAGTTTACTTTTTTATTTCAAAATGTACACGTTCTTTTTTTTTTTTAATTGGTAAAAGTTAAGATCCTTCCCAGAATAGCAGGCAAAGTGATATCCTTTTGCACTGTATTACCTAATAAGTGAAAGAATAAAAATCACAAATTATTGTCATTTATGATATTGAAGTGAAGTTTTGTAAACATGTTTAATAGACTTAGTTATTATTCCTGGGAGTATGACCTCAGAATTCCAAGTGCTGGATGTCATCGTTAAAAAGCCAGCTAATGATAACTTAAAAATAATTAATAAATCTCTAAAACAATGTGATTAAAAAAGCAATCTATAGAAGTTACATAAGTATGATACCATTTAAAAATATGTGAAGCAATAATACATCTTTTGAGAGATATATAAATATATAGTAAAAGTATAATGACATGCATGGGGATGATAAATAGCACATCAAGATAGTGATTATCTCTGATAGGGTGGAAAATAGCTATAATCAGAGAAGGGTATATAGGGCACTTAAGCTATATGTAATGCTTTGTTTATTAATCCAGGAGTGGGGACACAGATGTTAGGTCACTTTACAAAATAAAAGTACATATTAAAAGTCACAAGTTATATTTTTGTCTTTTCACAGGGTTGTGCAACCATACTATATATAGCATTTATTTGATTTCTTTTTCACTAGCTAATTCCAGAACATTTTTATGACCCTCCAAAAAAACCCTATAATCATTAGCAGTCACCCTCCTATACCCCTCAAACTCCACCAGCCCTAGGTCATAACTAAATCACTTTTTGAATATGTGGCCTTTTGTAACTGGCTTTTTTCACTTAGCACATTTTCCAGGCTCATTCATATTGCAGCATAAATCAATACTTCATTCCTTTTATGACTGAATAATAATTCATTATATGAGGGTTCTTCAAAAAATTCATGGAGGATTCATATTATCATTTAATTCTATTTTTCCATGAACTTTTTGAAGTACCCTCATACATATACGTACATATGTGAATATAACATTTTGTGTATCCAGTTAACCATTTGAGTTATTTCCACTTTTTAGCCATTATGAATAATGCTGCTATGAATATTTGTGTACAACTGTTTAAATGAACACATATATTCAGATCTCTTGAGAATTCTATCTAGGAGTAGAATTACTGGGTTATGTGGTAACTTCAGGTTAAACATTTTGGGGAAATGCCAGACTGTTTCCACAGTGGCTGTACTATTTTACATTCTCACCAGCAATGTATAAGGGCTCCAGTGTCTCTATATCCTTGTCAACACTTGCTATTTTCTGTTTTGGGGTTTTTCTTAAAGCCTTCTTAGTGGGTGTGAAGTGGTATCTTATTGTGGTTTATATTCCCAGGTCCCTAGTGATACCAGTATTGGACATCTCAGGTAATTATTGCCCATTTGGTGTATCTGTTGTTCACATGAGTTCCATGATTAATGGTTATGCTTGTGGTTACAGTTCTTTTATGAGGAGTCCTTGTCTCTGAGAAGTAGCTATCTCTCTTTATGTTAATAGAACTGAAGTGATTACATTTCTAAATGATGTTAAAATATTATATAGCATTTTTCAGATTTACTTTGCTCAGCTTTGTTTTCATGATGTTAAGAAAAGTCAAAGAATATTTCGTGGTAATAGCAATTTAGAGCAAACTATATAACAATATACCAGATAGCGTTTTTGTTTGCAAGTGTTTATATATCACAAAAGTTTTACACTTTCTGGCTTGGATCCACAAAGTGGGAAATCTACTACACTGTTTCTAATTATAA